CACATAGAAGCCGAAGCACCGAAACCGGATCAGTGACCTCCACGTGCCAATCTTAACGGTAACCTCTCTACTTCCTCTTTCAAAAAAAATCCTCCCGCAAACTCCGCTCTCATATAACTCAACCATTCCCCTTCCAATTCATGAACCTCTCTCTCTCTCTCTCCCTCCCTCTCTCTCTCTCTCTCTTCTCACACTGAACCCACTTTAAAATAATAAAATAAATAAATTTAATAAATCCTATTAACTACATTGCATATTATAAATATTTTTCTTTCTTATTATAAGTGAAATCTCTGGGAATCATCCAATAGAGAGAGAGAGAGAGAGAGAGAGAGAGAGAATGAGAAACCAAGGTGAGGAATTGGATTATAAAGAGAAGCTTGTGAGAGAGATTTGCGCAATCTCTACATTGTTTACTTCTTGTTCTCATAATCGGAGTTCGACCCAGAAGCCTGGATTCATTGATTGGTATCTTATTCTAAGAGTGGGTATTTTATTTCCCATTTTTATTCATTTTTCTGGGTTTTTTCATTAATTTATGTTTTATGGAATTTTTATTTGTTTTTATTATGGGAATGTATATGTGTAGATTGATGAGGATTCAGGGAGTGATATGATCCGAAAGCGATATCGCCAGTTGGGTATGTTTTAAATCTAATTTAACTTGTAAATTTATTCTCTCAAGAGAAAATAGAAGTTTATTTGTTCACAAATCACAATGTCGTTTATTATTATTGTTGTTGTTTTACTTATTGAGCTCTTTGTAAAATTTCTGCAGCATTGCAGCTTCATCCAGATAAGAACAGGCATCCAAAAGCCGAAGTGAGCTCTTTGTAAAATTTCTGCAGCATTGCAGCTTCATCCAGATAAGAACAGGCATCCAAAAGCCGAAGTGGCATTCAAGCTTATTTCAGAATTGCAGCTTCATCCAGATAAGAACAGGCATCCAAAAGCCGAAGTGGCATTCAAGCTTATTTCAGAGGTAGATATTTTAATTTTCTTTTCTTAGATTTTTTTTTGTGCAACATTAATGTGTTAGATTTCTGTTGTGAGAATTATGTATTTGTGTATAGTTCATTTTCACGAGGATGAGGACGTACAGTTTTTCACTCAATTGTGAATTTCTTATTAAGACTGAAAAAAGAAATTTGTTTTCTGCCTAATAATTTTTGATAAATTGCGTCTCATAACAAAAAAATTAACATAAAGAGAAGAACCTAAATTATAAAAAGAAATTTGAGTTCTCTCCAGTAGAGAAACAACTTTCTAACTCTTGGAATCATTTTTTTATATGTAGGATAGGATTATGATCCATTTCATGGACAATTATCATCATATTTCTCGTGAATTAAAATTTTATGCACAGCAGAGACGATCAAAATCCAATATCTAAATCTACAGTTTCAATCATATGTCTGCTATTACATTTTTGCTTGAATTATATTTTTCTTGAATTTAGATGTTTGATATGAAAAATTCCTCAAGGACCCAAAATATGGGACCAATGGGGGGGACAAGTGAGGTGTCCCCCTCCTATTGGATAATGAGTTGGCAATCATTAATGATGGCCAACTAATTATCTAATAGGAGGGGGACACCTCACTTGTCCCCCTTATTGGTCCCATATTTTGGGTCCCTGTAGCAAAGCTCGTTTGATATAAGATCATCTCTACTCGGGATACGCATGTTATGATTTTTCTTACTCAAATAAAATTTAGGAAAGAAACGTAGATTACGAGAAAAATTGTGATGATTATCACTGAGATGAATCATAATCATATTCTAGATAAAAATACATAATCAGATTTAGGAAGTCGTACAGAGCATGGTGATAACTCTAGAATGGGAAGAGTCATGAAATTTATGAGCCACTTTCAATGGTGAGTTAATGATAGTAATTTTAATTTCCTCCTTAGAATCCATGAGGTGATACCAGTAAGCATGTGAAGAATATAAATGACTAAGCAAACTCTGAGCTCTGTATAATAAAGAAAAGTTAACCACAAGTATTTTAAACTCTCATAAACCATAATCATAAATAAATCAAGTAGCATGTTCCAAGTACCTGATAGCTGTCCTCATAAAGTTTCTGCATATTGACTATTGCCAATTAAGTCGTAGTTGCCTGTGAACCTCATTGGAAAATATTTCACATGAAAACTGTGCAAATAGCTATTTTCTCCATTGCCTGCCAGCTCTCAAGACCTTGAGCATCTTTGGATACTGATACCTATAAATATAATGCACCTAATGCGAATCTTCATTAGACTTTAATGATCAAGAACAAGTCAAATTTCGGTTTCAACTATTGTAGATTTGACCTAAACTAATTGCAGATCACACTATGACCACTAACAATTAAGGATATCTCTAAATTTCATTTAGAATTTTGAATGATTTTATAATTGGACACAAGCAGTTTTCATGCTCCTTTTGCTGTGGTGTCATGAATTTACTGAGCTGGATGCATTATTTAATCATATAGGATCAAAATCTTTTAGGAGAATTTTTTTGCAGGTCTGATATACGTCCATGTGAAACAAAGAAGTACTTTATTTGAATTGAGAAAAAAGAAGAGCAAAAGAGAGAAACTACTTGTTTGCTCAAAGAAATGATGGGGTTTAAAAAGTAATGCTAATTGTACATTTACTAACAAATAGTGTGTTTCTAGTTTCTACCATCTCATATTTGAATATGAATTGGATAATAATTTGATGCGTCGAAAATGTATGTCCATTTGATATCTGAAACATTATAAAAATGTTTATAACACAATTAGAATTCAATTACAGGCTTATGAATGTCTCTCAGACGAAGCAAGGAGAAAAACTTTCAACTCCGAAAGAAAAATCAACTTCTGCAAGGATTGTCACAGAAAATCACAGCAATCAACTTCAAAGAAAAATCACAAGGATGCTCCAAGAACCAAACAAAACAAATTTCTCAGGGCACTTAAAGAAGTTCAGAACAAGCTCAAAGAAGAATGCAAGGTGATCGAGAACTCTCTTCGAGTCAAGGAGGCCTCGAGAGACATGGGATCCCCTCTATTCGACCCCTCTCATCGTCTGCAATTCCCTGATTATCCTCATTATAGAGAGAAAATGCATGCAAATTGCCGGTCAGAAGATTATCAATATTTTAGAAACTGTTCAACCCTTTCAGATTATAGGAAGATGAGATGTGAATCTCCTGTTTATGAACTGAGATCAGAGAGTAGGAGAGGCTGGAGCAGGAGACCAGGCTTCAGATTTTGTTTTTTTTTTTTTTTTTTTTTTTTGAATTTCACCGCGCTAGCAAGAAAGTTCAGTGGTTTTCAACAATTGTTTGTAGCAAAAGAAGAACTCTATAGAAATGGCAAGGTTGACATCAATGAAGGATTGTTCTTCATATTTGAATTTGAACTTTGGAGCTCCAAATTGAAAATTCAAACTGCTGGATGTGACTACCTATAATAAATCTCAGACTAGCTAACATGTTTTGACAACAGAAAATGCATGGTTGATATATGTGTTAATCCATTTGTTCATAGCAAAAGATGAACTTTATAGAAATGGTAAGGTTGACATCATTGGAGGATTGTTCGTATTCGAATTTGAACTTGGACATCCAAATTGAAAATTAAAACTAGGAAAAAATGCTTCCAGCCCCCAAAAGCTAAGGAAACGTGCTTCCTACCCCCAAGACTTGGTCAATGGGTGTTTTACCCCAAAAATAAAGATTCTGTTCTATGAGCCCCAAAAACACAAAACCCAAGAGATTAAAATATGTGAAGACCATAATACCCTTCTCTCTTTCTTTCTTTTTTTATTAAAATATGATGATAATTATTTTATTATTTTTATTTTCTCTCTCTCTTTATCATAATGTACTAAGATAATAGTTGAAATGATTGATGATGATTATTTTATTATTTTTGTTTTTTATTATTTTTGTTGTTTGTATTGGGAGATTGTTAAAGTTACGGGTTAATTGTTAAGGTTACGAGTTAATTGTTAATGTTACGGGTCAATTGTTAAGGTTATGAATCATCTCTCTCTCTCTCTCATGATGTTACTTTGATAATATTAAAATGATTGAAGAGAATTATTATTTTATTATTTTTGTTTTTTATTCTTTTCGTATTTTTAGAATATTCGTTGTTAAGGATAATGGTTGGTTGTAAAGGTTATGCATTGTTTGTTAAGGTTACGGGTTGGTTGTTAAGGTTATGGGTTTGTTGTTAAGGTTATGGGTTTGTTGTGTATGTTACAAATTTGTTGTTAAGGTTACGTGTTTAATTGTTAAGGTTACGGGTTTAATTGTTAAGGTTACGTGTTTAATTGTTAAGGTTACGGGTTTAATTGTTACGATTACAGTTTAATTGTTAAGGTTACGGTTTAATTGTTAAGGTTATGGGTTTAATTGTTAAGGTTACGGGTTTAATTATTACGGTTACATGTTTAATTGTTACGGTTACGGGTTTAATTATTAAGGTTACGTGTTTAATTGTTAAGGTTACGGGTTAATTGTTAAGGTTACGTGTTTAATTGTTAAGGTTACGGGTTAATTGTTAAGGTTATGGATCCCTTCTCTCTCTCTCGTAACCTTAACAATTAAACTCATAACCTTAATAATTAAACCGTAACCTTAACAATTAAACCGGTAACCTTAACAATTAAATCTGTAACCTTAACAATTAAACTCATAACCTTAATAATTAAACTGTAACATTAACAATTAAACCGTAACCTTAACAATTAAACCCGTAACCTTAATAATTAAAACCGTAACATTAACAATTAAACCCGTAACCGTAATAATTAAACCCGTAACCTTAACAATTAAATCCGTAACCTTAACAATTAAACCGTAACCGTAATAATTAAACCCGTAACATTGACAATTAAAACAATTAAACCCGTAACCTTAACAATTAAACTCGTAACTTTAACAACAAATCCGTAACTTACACAACAAACCCATAACCTTAACAACAAACTCGTAACCTTAACAACCAACCCGTAACCTTAACAAACAATGCATAACATTTACAACCAACCATTATCTTTAACAACAAATATTCTAAAAATACGAAAAGAATAAAAAACAAAAATAATAAAATAATAATCCTCTTCAATCATTTCAATATCATCAAAGTAACATCATGATAGAGAGAGAGAGTGATAGATAGATATATATATAGAGAGAGAGAGGATTCATAACCTTAACAATTGACCCGTAACATTAACAATTAACCCGTAACCTTAACAATCTTCCAATACAAACAATAAAAATAATAAAATAATAATCCTCTTCAATCATTTCAATATCATCAAAGTAACATCATGATAGAGAGAGAGAGAGATAGAGAGAGAGATGATTCATAACCTTAACAATTGACCCGTAACATTAACAATTAACTCGTAACCTTAACAATTAACCCGTAACTTTAACAATCTCCCAATACAAACAACGAAAATAATAAAAAACAAAAATAATAAAATAATCATCATCAATCATTTCAACTATCATCTTAGTACATTATGATAAAGAGAGAGAGAAAACAAAAATAATAAAATAATCATCATCATATTTTAATAAAAAAAGAAAGAGAGAGAGAATGATATTATGATCTTCACATATTTTAATCTCTTGGGTTTTGTGTTTTGGGAGCTCAGAGAACAGAATCTTTATTTTTGGGGGTAAAACACCCATTGATCAAGTCTTGGGGGTGGGAAACACGTTTCCTTAGCTTTTGGGGGCTAGAAGCATTTTTCCCTTAAAACTAATAGATATGATCTACTGTACATTTGACTACCTATAGATAAATCTCAAAGGAGTCAACATGTTCTGACAACAGAACATGCAGGGTTAAAATATGTTTTAAATCATTTGAGATTTTATTTCTAGCTAGTACATATTTAGTAGATCACATATGGTATGTATTTTCAATTTGGGGCACCAAAGTTTAAATTTGATTCTATACTATAATAATTTTGGATAGTTAATAATAGCCTACCTCACCTCATGCCTTTAGTTGTTAAAAATTCAACCTCACATTTTCTGCATAGACAGTTTCATAGGTAATACTGTATAAATACATAACTTTGCAAATCAAAGGGGCTTGAGTCAAAAACTGGAACGCCAGATAGTTAAATACAACTTGCAACTTAACTTTTATAAGCACCCAAGATCCAATTTACCAAGACAAAAATAATACATAATTTTAGCACATGCTGTGACATTATACTAAAGTTTGAAAGTAATATGGTATACGATCCTACAAAATTTCCTACTCATCTTGAGAGTCACTACATCAACAGTTAAACTGCGTTAAGCTTGTTTTTTCTTCAATTGCTCACCAGTAGGGGCTTTTAGTACACCTCGATTGATCAAAGGCTGCAACTCCAACTTCGACAAATTTCTCACCGTAGAATCCTTCGACTCTAGGAAAGCGGAAACAACTTTACAACTGCAAATTAAATCACACAAGTAAAAAACAACGAGCATGTTGTCGATGATTCAAGGGGAGCAATTTTCTATTATTTATTGTTTACCTATGACCATGTGCCCACATCTCACACTTCCCTTCAAGGGCCATTTTCCATAGAATGGCAGCAAAGGAGGGGGAATCAAGGATCAGTTTTCTTATGGTCCTGCTGGAGTGAAAATTCTCAAAGACATGATCCTCTTCTTTAGAGTCATCTTCCTCTTTGGGAAGAGCAGCTAGAGAAGCTATTGCTTTATGCAAATCGGCCAATTTGTCCGATAAAGATTGCAGAATGCCATCTGCTCCACCAACAGCAACCTGCAAAAGAGGCAAAAACTTTCTTACCATTATTCATAAAATTATTGAACTACTAGTTGATATTTGATACTGCTAACCAACTGGACCGATTTGCTACTAGTATTGACCCTAAGAGATGAAGTATCTTCAATTCTACCTATTCCATTTAATTAAAGCATTATAAAAAAAATAGGTGAAAAGGCAGTTGAAGACAATTTGATTCCTGCAACAACTAGAAAGTATATTTCAAATAAAGACAATTTGACTATATCAAAAAATCTCCAACAAGCTTGTACAGTATCTTTGCAGAATTCCACGTTAAACTGTTTAAGATATATAATACATCCATCCTCTATGTTGGTGCATACATGTGTATGTATATGCATGCATATGTGATAGTATACATAGAGAAGACGGAGGAATCACCTCAAATATTACTTCTTTGCCAAAATTTGACCGAAGTAGCTCGTTGGCATTCTCAATGCAAGTATTTATAAGACTCTGCAGATTAGCAAACAGGAAAGCACCTTTCAGCTCCTTGAATAAATCAGAGAATCTTAATCGAAAATAATTCACATAAGATGTTCTATGATTCTGCATGCCCCGATAATGCAATCTCACAATAGATGAAGTTTCTAAAATTGGAGACTAGACGCATGAAGACTAAGCATAGAGAGCACTATCTGCTAAACACTTAACTAAGATACTGACTGTAAAGATAATTGTACTAGTAGTAGATATCTGAGTTTATAAAGAGCAATATCTGCTAATAACATATCTAAGATTCTAGCTGTTAAGATTATTGTACTTCGTGGGCCAGCTTCAATATTTCGAAATTTTGAATAACAAATACAGCTCTTAAGATTTATAGAATGATATAAGAACTCGTTAAATATGCCGCTTGAAAATTTTCCTCTGTTACATTTGGACAAACCAATTTTATATACTATACTCGAATGTTTCAAATACCACCTATTTCCCCATTTTTTCGACTAGGTTGTACAGTCATGGACCAATGATAAACACCTGCATGATACCAATTCTTGGATTCTTCTAGATAATTTTAAATGGAGAATCTGAGTTCACTGCAATGCACCAGCTACTCTTGATTTACTGGTAGAAAACAAAAACAAAAACAAAACAAAAAAAAGGGTTCCAAAATAAAGAAACTAAAAAAATTGTGAAATAAGTAAATTTGTTTGTAAGATAGCTATCATTATGTAAGATACATGCAATTTCTAAGTTTTCATGGATAATTATTGCCACATAACAAAGATTTTATTTATGATATGCAAATGCTTCTATGCATACTAATTGCAACTAATTGCTCTGTAGATTGCACAAATCTGAATAATATGCAAATGCTTCTATGCATACTTATTTATGATTTTTAAATTGATCATTAACAGTTTCAATAATTGAAATTATAAGTCTATACTTTGGTTGCAAGGTCTAGATACAACTCTGACTCTAAATGGAGTGATTATTATCTACAAAAATACATATATGGAAAGAAAAATATATGTGGTCCAAGGCAATGAATGTACATTGGGTATACAGAATTAGGATGTTGCATGGATGAGGAGATAAAGACTAAGAATTGTCAAACCATTCACCTCAGCAAGCCCACTCTCCACCAATAATTCACGTCTTCTTATAAAAGGATCTTTCTTGCCACCAATGGCAATCTTCATGCTCTTCTCACTGACTCCACTTTTATCAATATCCATCATGGGGACGTCGACATCAAGCTGTGAGCGGTTTTCTGAACCTTCTTCAGAAGTGGCCTCCTCTTCACCCTGAAGAAGAACAATTAACACTTCAGCCTAAATGTACCTGCTTTTAGTTTATGTTAAAAGCCCTCAAGAAATTTTGGAGGGGGGGGGAAACCTGTGCACATAGAGAAGGAACAGAAGAAGCTAGACAAGCAAGATTTTCGGGACCAAGATAGCGAGCACACTGTGGATGGAGTAGCTGCAGTAACAGCAGTCTTCCATTCTGGAGCAACAGGAATTAGTTTCTATTATATGGATAGAACTTGACATGGACACATAAAAGAAAGAAGTTGAAACAATCAGAGTCCATTAGCGGTATAGAGATCACGGGAAAAAACTTACTCGGTCTAGAACAAGTTCTTTTAGCATTGCTTTCAACCCATCAATAATAATCTGAAAATGAAATGTGATAAATTGTTAAGCATTAGTGTCAAATACTGTAACAAATGGTACAAATGGAATTATCAACAAGCTCACCTTGGTTACCAGCTTTGTATCATCAACCACTGAAAGGATGCATGTTAGTAGCTGGGGAAAAAAAAGATAAATGAAATGAGAAGGATAATATAATAATTACTCAAGTAATATTAATCGTCATTAAAAAAAGAACAAAAGTCCACACTAGATAATATTGACTATGCATTGACAGTAGAGGTGCAGAAAATGAAAAGAAGAACTTTCTTAGTCCATTTCATAACAAAATTAAAAAGTATGTACATGGTGTTGCAATAAATGGCAGATTATGTTATGAACAACTAAGATGTCTCACATCAAACACTAAGCTAAACCAAAGCAGAAATGTTTTCAAAATAAAAATAAACAAACTCAGGATAGGCATGCATGGAAACTATTTGCCATGCAACATCATCTTGACACTATTGTCGCTTTAAGTTGCTTTTTGGTTTGTACAAGTGCCCTTGAGATGAATGCAATGCCTATAACAATTTAATCATTTTTAACTCCTGTCTGAACTCCTTATCTAACAGAATTTTGGAGGGATGCAGCTTGGTTGCATGGACCTAAACTTGAAGTTTAAAACATTACCTGCACTCTAGCAATCAAATCCAGTCAGTGCGTAACGAAATTATTGTCTGGAAGGGTTGAGAAAACTTGTATTTAGAAGGTTTAGAAAGCACTTACAACACTTCCACACTGATCAAGTGTAAGGTTTCGAACATGTTCCTTGATTCCTTTGACGATCTTCTTTCTCTCCTGAGATTGAACAATAAATATTCTTCAGTGACTAGATGGCGAGAACTAGTAGGGCAAAAATTCTTTTTCAATTACAAATAGCACCACAAGACAAGCATTATGGTGGGAGCATAACTACATGCTAAAACAGGGGAACAAACATGAGAGTATTTCCACATCCAACATAAGGTTCAACCTTAAGTACATATTAATTCGTTAACAAGTGAAGACAAAAATTCACAAAAAATTGGACAAAAAGAGCTATGTTTATTTTCAAAGTCCCAACAGATCATCAAGTGCCCACTTGGCAATGATCCAAGACTTCAAAAAAATGCTACATTAACAATCATTAGCTAAAAAGATTTTTAGGTGACTAGAAGATAGTAAATCAAATTAAAAAGCTCCCAGTATCAACCTTTGCACTCCCATGTTTGATGCAGAGGATGCCGACCTTCAATCCATCTCTTGTACTGACCATGCGAACAAGAAGTGGGATTTTCGTCCTGATCTTTTTAATTTTCCTTTTCTTTGATGCCTGCATGCCCTCGTCTATGCCACTGGACTCTTGAGTAAGGAGTGGTAATAATTGTTGAATCACGTCTGTGGCAGAGGACTTTAAACAAACTCAAGTCAAACAATCATGCTGTTAGATAAGGCACAAGGTGTCGTCTGACATTGTAACATTACCTTGTCAGCAATTGTGAAATATTCCAGCAGGCAGGTGTGAATAATAGAATAGTCTAGAATTCCTTTCTCCAAAATTGGCTGGATCACAGAAGTCATGTGTTGCAGCACTGATGACTTCTGTAATCCCAGTTTAGAGATTATGTCTACCAACCTGATCAAGTGAAATGTTATTAAGCAACTAAACGTAAAGAACATGTGAATGTAAAATTGTTGAACTTCACACATAGTCATGAGAATAAGTGGATAGTTAATAGAAGTGTTAGTTAGAGATAAATCAGAAGTCCACGACGTTATGGAAAAACGAGAAATACAACTTGGAGATGCATATATGCCAAAAAAACAACAACAGACATGCAACTATGCTATGAACTTTAAGATCCTATTTTAATAAAATCACTGATCTTGCTCGTCTATTGATTCTCTCAATACTTCTGGTATAGCCAAATAGAACACCACAATCTCAAGTTTCTTTTGGATTTTATTTTTGATTGAAGACAACTGCTGCATCGTCATCATACTCTATTGCTCTGTGTTTTCCTGTATCCTTCCTATGACCAGCTAAGAGCAAAGTTTCATATGGCCATGATCAAGTCATGGCGAGCTAGGCTGTTGACGCTGGTGCGAAAATGACAGGCGGCAGGTGACTATTGGTAATAGTACTTGGATGTTAGCATGGTTGCACAAGTTTGATGGAATTCCATGTTTTTCTTTCAAATTTTGTCCCCGGTCTGCCAGGCAGAACAAAAGGAGTTTGTTATGATGAACATAATGGAAGATCACGCTAACTGTAGTTGGCGCCTTTCTACCTCATATAGGCTATCATGTCTGGATCTAGCAACTTACATTTTAATAAATAGTAAATGTCATGCTGAGAAAGAAAAATATTAAAGTACTTGTGTTATTTAACCAGTTGCATTTCATCATCTAAATTTTATCCAAGTAAAGCAGTGAGTATTTGTAAACTTGCCTTCCAGAATTTGTTAAAGTTAAGTCCTTGAACAATTGAAGCTCGGTAGAGTACATTTCCATTAAAAGCCTTTGTTTCTGAGACCCTTTTGCCAACTGGTATGCATGATCAACAACTAATCACCAAAGTACACACTAATGAGCCACTGTGATTCACTAAAACATAAATAATCAATGTATAGAAGAAATGATTAAAAAATCAATTAAAGTTTACAATTTTAGATATTGCTACAGAAACATACTTTGTTAAGAAAAGATCAATGTAAATGACACCAGAAACTAAAACTACGGTTTGTCCTTGTAACAAAGGAAATTTAAGTTACCCTGACAACTGATGGAGAAAGAAATCAACATAAGGTATTTATACAAGAATAAATTCAATTACCATTAGGTTATTAACTAAGGAAAACAGCTAAACCTTATGCCTGAAGTAGACTGGACCTGCTGCAACTAGAGAATCAGAGATTCAAAGATTGTACTTCATATTTGATGACCAGCCATTGAAGCCGGAATATGTGGAACCAACTATATGTCATCTTTCTATTTGTTCGTACAGGATTTGCAGGAATAATTGGTCCAACTAATTAGGAATTCCTAACTCAACAACTTCAAATGTATAACTTACTTTTTTCACAAATTTAATTTCTCAACCCCCCCCCCCTGGCGTGGAACTTTGGGAGTGTTGTGTTACTTGTGTACAACCCACCTAAACTTTGTTTATCTGATTCTGACATAACTCCATGAACTTCAAACGGTTCTCACCTGACCCCCTTACATATAATTTGCAAATAACTAGAATTTCTTGGAGAGAACAAAATTCAAATTTTTGAAGGGGGCATGTTGTCTGTTAATGAGAAATGACAAAGTAGGGTTTTTTTTCTCAAACAAATTTTAATTGTTTGCATATTACATATGCAGGGCACAACGTCCGGGGGGCTATGTTATGTGCAACACTCCCCAAAGTGTTTTTTTTGGTTTTTTTTTTTTTTTTTTTTTTTTTGGGGGGGGGGGGACCGACTAAAGTGAACGTTCATTTAGCCAGGAAGGTGGCAATTGTTTACACGGATAACATTCGCCACTATTTTAAAAGTTGATAATCATGTTATTTAAAGATAAGAAATCCTCCACCCCAAACATCCTTTTTGAAAAAATGGAAGATGCATGGCAGGGCTGAAGCTGGTGAATACCTTATCTTAGAGTCTGCTTGATGATGGAATTAGGCTCAGGAATCTCTCTAATTCATCCTACATCTACTTTAATATCTAAAGAGTCATGATTTACAATGAAAGCTATATTTGGTTTCATCTCTAATTTATAAATGAATTCAACATTTTTATGTTTTGTTTTTTCGCCACTGAAGTTGTTGCTGCCTTGCTGGAACCTAGAGTTAGTCAACCGTGGCAGGTAAAAGTAGAAGCAACTAGCAAGAAACAGGTTCAGTCTTCAGGAAAAGTTTGTTTGCAATTTTTTTGTCATATGCACGAGTCAAGTTGAATCCTGAGGCATATGATTACGTTAGGGTATAAGGGTGTGGACCTTGAAGTACAGACAATACATATATTCAAAATTTCCTTTAGCCAGTTCATTTAAGATGGTTAACTATTAATTTATAAAATAATTAATCAGATCGCCTACATGCAACCGATTAGAAGATGTCTTTCATGACGAGATGTCATTAAAAAAAATTTAAGTTGCATGGGGTTAGCAATTCAATGATCATATAAGCATCATATAATAACACCACCTCATACACAGTTTCACTGAGTACTTTCAACATTAAAAAAGTTTTTCTGATTGCCTTTTATTTCTTCTTTAGATTTATTCCTTTACATATTACTTCCCAGTGAATTTCTCTAGTCAAGCATTCAAATTAGAAATCTCGTTAACAATCGAGGGCTTAAGGATCATACAAGGACAGCGAGGTGTCGGAGAGTGGGTGGTACGCATACAACAAACAAAGACGGGACTGGAATCAGGTGTGGTTTTCACCTGCGATAACCATGGCTTTAGTGCTTGGTTGTTCCTACTGAATGTAAGGAAAACGGCACTTAAACTAGATAGCTGGGAATATAACTAGCCTTAGGACGAGATAGAACTCAAACTCGATGGTCTTTTTCTCGGGATTAAAAGATAGCTGCTTTCTTAAAAGAAAAGCTGGGGATTCCCTTTTTCTGCTATTGGATATTGGAAAAGGCTTATCATTGAACTGGGACTCTAATTGAATAAATTAACCTTCTAAACTAGATTCAGTGCCGGTTTTTGTGGCAATCCCATGGCGAGTTTCTGATTCGGATCCATACCCGGTATTCAGTGCCGGTTTTTGTGGCAATCCCATGGCGAGTTTCTGATTCGGATCCATACCCGGTGGATCGAGTTTCCCGAGTCCAAGCACGTGGCAATCCCATGGCGAGTTTCTGATTCGGATCCATACCCGGTGGATCGAGTTTCCCGAGTCCAAGCATAAATAGCTGGGATAGCTGTGGGAAATACTAGAGCAGAACCATTCGTTGGAGATACAGACTCCGATCGGTCAGTTGCCCGAGTGGTATTTTACCCGAAGCCAGTTTAAGCAGGGAACGCTCCAAAAACGATCGACGATTCCTGGCAAACGTTCTCCATGATGGATGCACGTTCTTTAACTTTAAAGAGCTCGGTTTGCATGTTAACTTAACTGGCTTTCCCTAATTTGGAAGATATCCATTTCGTTTGAGCAGAAACAATCGATGAATCAAAAAAGTTCTGCACCACGAACTTTGTACCGCGCATGTCAATCACTTGAAAGTAGCGTAAACAAGAGTGAAGAAATAGCATAAATAAATACGATAGGAAATGACAAAAGAGTGGATTTTCTTTGTACCAAGAGTGAAGAAATAGCATAAATAAATACGATAGGAAATGACAAAAGAGTGGATTTTCTTTGTATTGTGTATGATATGAAATATTCTCATAGATGAGCTCGACTTTTTCGATGTGGTTGTGCCCACTTCGTTTCATTACCTCTTCTATGTGTTTGCCTTGCCGAGTGGGACTAACGTAATGCGAACGTCGAGCAGTGCTCGCTCGTGCTTCTTCTAACCGGGGAGCACGTCGCTAGTCCAAGGCGCTGTTAAGCCCAAATGATTCAAAAGTGGTTAATCCCGCCCACGTGTTGGGTTCTTTTGATTTGTTTGGGGCACTTTCGCACTACACTACTAGTATTCAACTGAGTTAAAACTATAGATTGAATCAGGTTGGCAAGTCAACATTAGTCCCACAAATTGATGCAGGACAACGATGAGGGCTTTGAATGTGCACGTCCTCTCTGTCGGCTTGCCATGAAAAGTATGGATTCTGATCCCTCGACGTTGAATCGTTGGGGCAAACGAATAGCATTTCCTTTCTCTAGGTAGTGTCTGATAGGGTGATCTATCCATGACCAGGATGAAGCTTGGGTGAAACTAAGTGGAGGTCCGAACAGACTGATGTTGAAGAATCAGCGAATGAGTTGTGGTTAGGGGTGAAATGCCACTCGAACCCAGAGCTAGCTGGTTCTCCCCGAAATGCATTGAGGCGCAGTAGTTGACTGGACATCTAGGGGTACAGCACTATTTCGGTGAGATGCTAACAGATCGTGAGCGATAGTTTTTATTCGAGAGTTTTCATTCTCCCCCAAGGATGAAAGCTTCCTACCTCCAGTCTTGCCTTCGGAAACCGAGCCGAAAATCTTCTCATTCCAAGTGAAAGAGACTATGGAAGCTACGTCTCTGTCTTTCGAATCTTGCATTTCTTTTGAAGTTCCAGAATATTTTATGTATCTTTATAAAAAAAGCCCCCGCCATTTCATTTTACTGAGAAAAGTTTTGTGCTGCTCGCCACTCCTCGAGGTCAAGGACGGGGTCGAACCGTCATTCCAGGATTTGCAGTCCGATACATTTCCATTATGTTAAAAAAGGAATCGATTACCTTACTTTAAAGAGATGGATCATTCTTTCCTAAGGACTCTTCTTAGGGAGTAAGAAGTGTCTCAAAGCCTAGTACTTTGAGCAAGGACTACAACAAGACTAAGAGCATTAGAAGCAGAGGTAGGACTAGTCTGGGTATGAATCTTTTCCGTCAGTGAGTCTTTCTGTAAGTAGAAGGCAGCCATCTAAGGGTTTGAGAATCATACTCCTATCGTTCTTTCTATTCGCTCTTCACTCTAACCAAACACTGATCTCTCCCGCCCATCTATTCTTACTCACTACTCTATAAGTGAAGTTCGAATCTTATTCTTTTTTTTTCCTGTTGTCTTGCTTGGCTATGCCTCCTTTCCTACTACCATCCATCCTGGCTCGGCCCGATCGTCCCGACCTCTTCCCGTAGTAGAGGCGAGCGAAATGGGAGCAGCCTAACGTGAAAACGGGGTTGTGGGAGAGCAATACAAGCGTCGTGCTGCTAGGCGAAGCAGAGGATGTGGTTGTGTACAGCAATCGAGAACCAGTGGAATCCGTGAGAAAATGCACTAGTCAAAACCCTTATTCAACCTTTGGTCCTGGGATATTTAGATTTAGATTATATATTCAAAAATATATAGCAGTCAAATTAACACTTCTTACGACAACTAAGGATCGGTAGTAATGCGCGACTTCAATTAGCATATGGCGTAAAAAAAAGAAGCTACGCCAGAAAAAAGCTTCGCAATAAAGAGTATACCCATACCTCTTCTCTTCTTGAAATTGGGTTATGGACAATTCAACCCAAACGAGTTCAAACTTAGTAATTTTAGGGAGAAAAGAAAGGAAGACAGGGCGAAAGAGCACTTAACACTTTCTCCTTCTTAAAGTGACGCATTTGTGGTCTAATCAACAACTTCCGAGATCGAATGAAAGACCAGTATTTTTTGGTTTCATCCATGAGCAAGTCTTGGCCACCGACTCATGCGGGAGAAATGGGCAGTCCCCATTCACTGTCTATGTAGCACGGACACGGATCCGACACTGCCATCCGACACGCCGACACGAGGCAAATCCTAAAAAATACATAAGATACGTGTGTTTGACAAGTGTGTCCGACACGGACACGACACGATACGGCTTCATGTTATGCGTGTCCGTGCTTCATAGTTCACTGTATTGCAGAGAATGGGGACATCATTAGCGTCCTTGAGCCTCGTCCTGAAGACGGATGCGACGGGAAGAAGTGGCATTTAGAAGTGTTGCTGACTTTACATTTAGGTTTCGGCATAACAAAGCTTGCACTGTCTTTTCGCACTTAGGTGCACAGTGTGCCGTTGGTAATGATTCTACTACGGTGCCGCAAATTCGCAAGCTGGTCCTAACATATCGAGGTCGGAATGGGATCGGGTGTTTTCACGTCTCACCGTAGTGCCCAGTTTGTCTTGATTGGAGATTGATGAACAAGAAGGAAAATGGAAAAGTCGACTTTCAACATAAGCATCTGTTGCCTTATAGATGCAGTTCTTAACCCTGAGAACACTAATTGAGCTTACTCTGACTCCAGCAAGATTGACTTTACACTGCTCTTAGTCATAAAACTAGCAACCTTCCAAGTTTCTAACCTTTGAGAACACTTCATCATTGAACCCTTTTTTCTCCTAAGATTAGTGAAATGTTCTTACTATAGAAGATAGAGTCTCTAATGGTCAATGGGTTTCAGAATTTACCTGGGTGTAAGGTGTTATTAATCCTTGAAGGTGCTACTGCACCAAGATTATTCTCTCTATATTTCTTAAATTTTTGAGTGAAAAAACATTATACAAGATCATCAGCTCATCATAAAATAGGCCAATGTCACTAGCAAAAAATGTGAGATGTGCTTACTACAATCATCACCCATACAACAAGAATTTTTTAACATTACAAATAGACTATAGATCATTTTTCACAAAAACAAATTAAATTACCTATTTGGTAAAAAAATAGTTGTATCACAATGGGCATCTTTATAAAACAAGAGAATTCATATGAAACAGTTTGATTACATCTTATGTTTTTGTTAAAGGCTCCTCCACAATTGTGGGGAGGGTTGAGGGATATAATTTTAATATAACATGCCCCTACATGAGCACCTTTTTCATGGGGTTAAACCTGGATCACACAGAGGCAACTTCTTAATCAACTTCAAATATATGTCTGGTGCGTGTCGGTCCTAGGTTCCTCTAAAGGTAAACCATATTAAAAGGTCTCTCGTTGCACCAAAATTCTGTAAAATGTGAGGGTAGAGAACTAATATTTTGTAATCTAACAGTTCTGAGAAGTCCTAAATTGACTGTCATTTGAAGATTAATAGACATACGCAAACATACATCCCAATGCAAAACTCAGGTTGAATATATAATAAAACAAATCATTTCTAAGTCCTGTTTAGTCCAAGTGTATGTCCCTTAAACCAACAGGTTTCTTCCCGGATCAACATACTAAAAAATAATAATTACCAGTAATGCATAAACAATGTCAAGAGATAACACAACATTTAATATCTTTTAAATACCTGCAGATCCAACTGTATGTCGAAGAAGAGAAGAAACCTGACCGTGAAGAGATGAGATGAAAGCTTCCAATTGTTTTTTTGTGGCTGTACATGAAAACAAATGTAGGCATATTTGAAGAATCAATACATTTTTCCTGCAACAATCATATTAAAATTGCCCTTTCACAAACGAGACATACCAGTATCTAACAGTTTGTTTACAAGATGAACTGCATATTTCTTCCGTGAAAGAGTAAGAAAATGCGGTCGCAGTGCCTCAAAAATAGTCTCTCTTTCTGTTTGTGAACAGTATTTGATGCAAGTCTGGTAAATTGTAAAGGATGCGTTACAATAATTGATATAATGAAGAAAGTCACACTAACAAATATGGATAGCTCATATATATGCACTGGTAATAACATCATATTCATATGTTCAGCTGAAGACCCCTGAAATAATCTCACATGATAAGAAGCAACACCCAGAAGTTTCGCACAATAGGAAAATGACAGTGAAGAAAAATTACTCACTTGAAGAACACGAGCAGAGACATGAGAACTTGCAATTTCTAGATACTTCTCATTCATTCTCCGCAGAGCTTCACTAATCAACCTAACAAAAATAAACTTCTATCAACACATGAGCAAACAGTTAGCCTAGAGCAACCAAACCAGCAAAAATACATACTTGGACTTCTCCTCCTTGCTAACATTACGACGTCTCATTTTTTCCCACAATGAAGCAAGCTCCTGCAAAGAGTCATCACATCTCAAAAAACCCATGTACATTACTTTCACTATACATAATACATCCCATATAGATATCAAAAAACAGCAGAGTGAACTTATAATTAGGCATTGAGATTTCTGGGCAACCCCATAATTTCTCTACCCGCTATGAATATTTTCGATTACTGGATTTATCAAAAAACAAATTAATTCAGCAGAAAATGTAGTCAATCAAAAGAGCCAATGATCAAATGAAACATTATAAATTGCCTCACTTTCTCAAGATTGTAATTTGGCTTCCTCTTCTTCTTCCTCTCCTCGGCCATTTCCTACAAAAATCGAGTTTTCCCACGGTAAACAACAAAAAGACAGAATCTTTCGTACCAAACTAATTGAAACTGAGAACCAGAACCCAATACCTTAGCAGCCAATCGCTTCTCTCTTGGGGTTGTGGGCTCCTTCTTCTTCTCGAAGGCATCATAGGTCTTAACGGGTTTCGACTTGAAAGATTTCGGATCCTTTTTAGATCCGCCAGCGGATTGGAACTTAGCGGGTTTGGATCCAAAGGGCTTGCCTTTCTTGGATAGAGACGAAGAGTCTCGCTTCCGCTTCTTGGATCCGCTCAATTCGTCGATGGCCGCCATTAGAGAGAGAGAGAGAGAAAGAGGACGGCGAGATTCGAAGAACCCTGGGGAGAGAGAGAACGGTAGGGTTTTTGTTGAAGGATTGAGGGTTTAGAAAAGGGGGCGAAATTATGAAGGGACATCGATGTGGGACCGATATTGTGACTGCATGACGTGGCTTTATATTCCTTGGTTGTTGTTCGTGGTAAAAACGGTGGTTTTGGTACTTGTGGGTTCACAATTGTATTATTAGTTTATCCATGTAAGAGTACCGGGTAAATTTGAAACAAACCCCTGAAGTTTTGGGGTTTTGCCCGAAACGCTTTTCCACGGTATGGTAAGAGCAAGGGGGCTAAGCACGAAAACGATACAATAAATTATATAAATTTCATCTTAGTCCCTCAATTCCTTTAGTGCCTGTTTGGATTCGTAGGGGGTGAAGGGAAGTTAAGGGAAACTGAGTGAAGGGAAGGGAAGGAAAAGGAAGGGAAGGGAAGGGAATTCCCTTCCCCTTGGTTACACCCCAATTTGGGGGGTAATAATTTTTATGGTGTGTTTGGGAGTTTACTAAGTGAAGGGAAGGAAAGGTAAACAACGGGAAGGGAAGGGAATGGAATGGAAGAGAATTGTAATATGTTGTTTGGGAGTTGAGTAAGGTGAATGAAGGTGAAAGGAAGTAAATATATGTAAATTTACATAAATGACTTTATACTAATAACACATCAGCCCTTTTATTTATTTTGATGGAGGTAAGAATGTCATTACACCCCTTTACCCTCCTTTACCCTCCTCTACCGCCCAAATCAGGGGGAAAGAAAACCAAGCAATTTTAGGGGGGGGGGAACCAAGCAATTTTAACCTCCTTTCCCCTTCCTTCCTCCTCTCTACCCTCCTTAAAAAAACTCCCAAACAAGATGAAAGCCTCATTTCTCTTCCCCTCCCCCTCTCTACTCTCCATCCAAACATGGCATTATACTATTAGGGGGTGAACCAAGGTGAATGGAGGTGAATTAACTTCACCTCCTAAGTGTTCCCAAACAAGATGAATGGAGGTGAATGGTTCCCCTAACTTCCCTTCACCCTCATTCCCCTCAATCCAAACAAGCCCTTATTGTCTTGCAAAGTGGTTTCTCAGTTAAAAAAAGCTAATCATGATTGGGCTTACCTCCTAACCCAACATTTACAATTACAAACCACCCCTCTCTTTAATAGTGCAAATCTTTATGAAGCTCAACTTTAGGTTAGGATCCTTTTTAATCGTTAGAGAAAAAGCACTCAAGTAAGTTTGGATTTATTTTAAATCGATATTGAGTTTAAACTCACTAATAAAGAGTTGGAACAATTTTTTAGGGGTAAAATGATTACTTTATCACCAACCGTTAGTTTTGTTAGAATATATTCTCCTTAAATCTAATTAACTTGAGACCCTATAAGATTTGAGGGACTAATATACAATTAGTGAGTGTAACAGACTAATATCTAAAAACCGTAATTTTTTAATTTTTTAAATTTTTTTTTTTTGGCTCTCTTCTTAATTTCAATACTAATCTCTTCTCAACCTCTCGGTAAGCACCGGCGTTGGCCCTCTCTCGCTGAGCGCGATGAAGAGGCCAGTACATAGTAAGCACGTCTTCAATTTCTTTGATTTTCTTTTCATTTTTGATGCAAATGAACTGTTCTAATTAATTCTCTATGCTCTATGTTCAATAAAATTTGTGATCTTTGTATTGTGGATCTTGCTCAATTGGAGGTGTGTGAGGACTAAATTGTGGATCTTGCTCTATGTCCAACTATTCACACTTCCAAACAGTAACTTTGGGGGTGTGTGAGGACTAAATTGCCCTTCTCCCTTATCTTCTTTATTTCTTCCTCATTTTATATTACAATTATTATTAATGTTGTTAGTAGTACTTATTAGTAGATTTATAAAATTGTTTCATTAGTATTTGTTATTTTGTAATTCGGATTTAATTATGTTAATTTCGTTTTTTATAATTAAATAATAGTGTTAGTTTGTTATTTCGGGTTTAAAATTATAGTCTTATTTTGTTAATTCGTATTTAAAGTTAATTCGGATATTAATTATAAAATAATATTGTTATTTTATGTTAATTCGGATTTAATTATGTTAAATTGTAGAATTATGTTAATTTGTATTTAATAAATTCGTTTTAAATATGAAAATGTTAACTATAACTTAACAGAAATGTTATTATTATGATTATAAATGTTATAGTATTATAGTGTTATGTTAATTTAGAGTTAACATAAGTAGTTTTAAATAATACAATTTATTAGTTAAAGGTTATTATTGTAAATCCGAATTTAATTAATAATTAATTTCGTTAATATAATTTTTCGGATGAAGTTAATTCGGACTTAATTAAAAGTAATTAGTAGTTAGTATTATTATTGTTGTCAGTGTTATAGTATTTAATTACGAGTTATTAATTTCTTGAAGTCCGGTGGCAACAAAAGGGCATTTTTGGCAATCCAACTCCCAAAATTACTGTTTGGGAGTGGATATAGCAAACATGAATTGGAGGGCACTTGTCATACTAAGTTTCTTGAGCTTTGTATTGATCAGCAAGGCAAAAATAACTTCAAGATCATGTATACTCTACTTTTTATCTGCCTTCTTGTACCAGAAAATTTACTTTTTTTTTGGTATTTTGGAGCTTGAAATTGACGGGGGTCACACAAATTGGTTTTATTAGATTATATACAATGAGGGCTGTATAAATTATTAAGTTATTTTTTTCCTTCATAAACCAAATCCCACATTGTCCGCCTCGATCATTTCTCTTCCAAAGACACAAAAACCATTTAGTATTTTTCATAATTTTATTTTTAGATTGAATGTGTAGTCTAACTCTGTGTTATTGAAGTCTAACTTGTTAGGATTTGAGTTGGTTTCTACTTTCAGTTAATAATATCCTAGACTTTAGGAGGTGTTTCGATATGATCTAATCTCTAGGATTCTGTTTAGCTTTTGATTTCTTCTTGTTTTAGTTAAGCACGTAGCTGTGTGTGATCTTGTTTGTTAAAGGGTGATCTTGTTTGTTAAGGTTTTAGGCTATTTAAAGGCCTGACCTGTTGAATAATGAAGTAAGTAAGTTAATTCCAATTGTGTTTCAGAGTTCCTTTCAATCTGGTATCAGAGCCCCCACTGGGCCTGAGAAAAAAGTGAGATAAGCAGCAGCTTAGAGAGAAACACAGAGAGATGAGTGAAGAGAAGGGATTGACTAAGATTCCTCATTTCAGTGGTCATTATGATCACTGGAGTGAACTCATGGAGAATTTGCTCCGAGCAAAAGGCTTGTGGAGTTTGGTGGAGAAAGGCTTCGAGGAGCCAAGAGCGGGGACCCTGTTGACGGATGCGCAGCAGGCACAACTTGATGATGCTAGGACCAAAGATCATCAGGTCAAGCATTACCTCTTTCAAGCCATCGACAGGATTGTCTTCGAGCAGATTTTAGATCGTCGTTCCGCCAAAACTGTTTGGGATTCTATGAAACAAAAGTTTGGTGGGAATGACAAGGTGAAGAAGTCTCACCTCCAGACACTCAGAAGAGAGTTCGAGATACTAGAGATGAGGAATGAAGAAACCATCACGGAGTACTTTGCCAGAGTGATGGTTGTCTCCAACAAGATGAGAAGCAATGGTGAAGATATGACAGATGAAAAGATCGTGGAGAAGATCTTGAGAACCTTGGTAGAAAGGTTTATCCCTATTGTAGTTTCAATTGAAGAAGCAAAGGATACTTCGACTATGTCCATTGTTCGAGATACTAGAGATGAGGAATGAAGAAACCATCACGGAGTACTTTGCCAGAGTGATGGTTGTCTCCAACAAGATGAGAAGCAATGGTGAAGATATGACAGATGAAAAGATCGTGGAGAAGATCTTGAGAACCTTGGTAGAAAGGTTTATCCCTATTGTAGTTTCAATTGAAGAAGCAAAGGATACTTCGACTATGTCCATTGATGAACTGCAGAGCTCGTTGGTAGTACACGAGCAGAAATTCAAAAGGGTGAGCAGAGAAGATGTTGATCAGGCATTAAAAGTAGAAGATCGAACATTTATAAGAGGAAAATATGCTATCAGAGGTAGGGGTCGAGGAAGGGACAAGGCAATGATGGAAGGTAGGGGTCGAGGAAGGGGCAAGGCAACGGTGGAATGCTTCAAGTGCCACAATCTTGGCCATTTTCAGTGGGAGTGTCCGAAATGGAACAAGGAGGCAAACTACGCTGAGTTGGATGAAGAAGATGATCTGTTGTTGATGTCGTATGTGGAATTGCACAAAGCTACACAACATGATGCTTGGTTCTTAGACTCTGGCTGCTCAAATCACATGTGCAATGACAAAGGTATGTTTTCAAGTCTGGATGAGAGTTTTAAACATTCAGTAAAGCTTGGGAATAACTCTAGGTTGAGTGTTGGTGGTAAGGGTGCTGTCAAGCTTATTTTTAATGGTATTACTTACACTATTGGAGAAGTATATTTTGTTCCTGATTTAAGAAATAATTTGTTGAGTATTGGTCAGTTACAAGAGAAAGGCTTGAAATTTTTGATTGAAAAGAATATTTGCAGTATTTATCATCCATACAGGGGCCTGTTTGCTCAAAGCAGAATGAGTGTGAATCGTATGTTTATCTTGGTAGCAGAAACTCAAGGTTCAAATGCTCAACCTGAAGAATGTATGCACACAAGCTCTCCTGATTTAGCCTATTTATGGCACCAGAGGTATGGGCACTTGAGTCACAAAGGTCTAAGAACCTTGCAGTTTAAGAAGATGGTTCGTGGTCTGCCACAATTTGCAAGCTCGACGACCACATGTACAGATTGTCTGAATGGGAAGCAACATAGAAGTGCCATGCCAAAACAAAGCAATTGGAGAGCAAGTCAAGTCCTGGAGCTGGTGCACACAGACATTTGTGGGCCAATATCTCCCACATCCAACAGCGGCAAGAGGTATGTTTTGTGCTTTATTGATGATTTTAGTCGTAAGGCATGGGCATACCTCTTATGTGAAAAGTCAGATGCATTGTACCATTTTAAGAATTTCAAGCAAATGGTTGAGAAAGAAGC